CGCCCTTGCCTTCCCTGAGCCGCCCGCATCCCTGACGGAGCAGCTGGCACGGCGCCGTCTGCGTCTCCACCCTTCAACCCCGACTCGGTGACATTGGGAGCTGACGGCCAATCAGAAGAAAAGAAAAACCAGGCCTTGATAACTGCTGTCGTAACGAGTTCATTCTTGTCTCTGCAGGAATCGGTTACGCCACCCAGGTGGTGATCGCGTACGCCGCCGTGTCGTACATCGTCATCCAGGCCTGGGCCTTCTTCTACCTCTTCTCATCCTTCACGGCTGAGGTTCCGTGGGCCACCTGCAGGAACACCTGGAACACAGGTAAACCAGAACCACAGTGGTCGGCCACAAGGGGGCGTTCACACCAGAAACGAAAGGTCGCGAGATGAGCGACAACGCCACGATCAATGTAAATAATTTAATATCAGGCGATGGGATTTGAGCGTCTGAGGCGACCACGACGTCCAATCAGTGACGAGTTTATCCCGACGAAGTTTTTTCTCGGATCATCTCAGACAAACAAATGATCGAGCGTCATGATATCGTCGTTTCAAGCGTTTTATTTTCTGTCTCTTCGAACTTTGGTGTGAACGCCCCACAAGAGGTCAGTGTCACAAGGTCAGAGGTCAGTGTTTATATATATATGCGTGTGTCGCTGTTGATATCAGAGATTTGTGGAACCATAAATATCTTCTTCGTTCTTCGTCCTTTTCACAGAATCCTGTGTTGAATTCGACAAAACAAACATTTCCTCCAACTGGACAGCAAACGCCACGACACCTGCCACAGAATTCTGGGAGTAAGTACGACTCACGTGCGTGTGTGTGTGTGTGTGTGTGTGGTACTTCCTGTTTGTCTTGGTCGTTTTCTTTTTCTATCAAAGTCAAGTTTGTTTTAGAGAAGACGGAGTAAATAAATATTTCTGGGTCAAGTCTAATTGTCATTAGCACGTTGCTAAGCTACAGTGTTGTGAGGGATTTGACCTTTGTCCTTTGATTGGTTGCCAATGTCATAATCTCTGATTTATATCAGGTCCACGGAGAACTCTTTTTTTTTTATCCTCAGTGATTGTGAAGTTGTGAAGAATATTTTAGCTCTAAATCTCTCTTGACATTTAAACTAAAATCTTGTTAATTCTAACTGTCTGATGGCTAACAGTTAGCTTAAAACAACAGTAGGTATAAAATCATATTTAACAGGTGGGAAATGTTAGCATTAGTGTAGCGCCTACCACGCCTCGCTTAGAGCAGAGAGTCCTGGGTTCGATTCCCAGAGGAACCTCGTGCTTTTTGTAAAGTCGATTTGGATTAAAGCATCTGCTAAATGTAACATTTTATTTACTAAAAAAAAACCAACTTATTTTGATACATTAGCCTGCAGGAGTTAGACCAGGCATGGGCAAACTAAGGCCCGTGGGCTAGATGTGGCCCGCTCAGCTGCAAAACCCACGATTCCCCAATAGATGGCGTAGAAAATGATAAAAAAAAAACATTTTAGTCTTTATCCCTGACTGTACATGTCATTTATCTTAGTTTGCACAAACGCTCCATCTCTCTGCTCCTGACCGCCCCCCCCCTCACTCACCCGCCCCCGTTCTATTTTGTTTCCACGCTTGTGTTGGACCGAGGAGGTCAGGAAGAAACGACTGATCATGAAGTCCTAACAGTTTTTTAAATCATCCCCAAAGACGACGGGTCTTTTATTGCAGCCGCTACAGGAGATGCAAGGGTTAAATGACTTCCTGTTTTGCAGTATTCTTTGGATACAGATACTCGTACATGTACTGTACGTGTTCAGGCTGAAGTAAACAATGACTTTTAATTTTTTTTTTTAAAAAAGGTCCATGAACGCGGACATGTTTTGTGGGATCTCTTCTTTTAGTTTTGCGTCCAAACCCCAGGTCAGTGTTGGACTGGACGACACGCCGTGACACAACCGTGTCGCTGCTGTTGTGTTCAGTCAAAACACATACATCCTACATCAAAGGCGTGGACAGGGCGTGGACACGTTTCCAGGATGTTGCCGCTCTGGGGTCGACGTTCGCACCGACGTCACACGCAGGACGTTCAGTGCGACGTGATATTTTTAATCTGCTGTTCATGAAACAAACACGACTGTGGTGTTTGTTTGTTTTTGGTTTTTTTTTTCTAATTTCCCACCCACTGGGCGGCTGCGGTGGCACATGACTGTGACTAACGGTGGAGACCCAGAGGAAGGGTTGTGGTCTGAAACTGAAGGCAGATCTGGGCAAAAACAAAACATCTGTACTCTCTCTAACTTCATCTACCTCTCTCTCCCTCCCTCCCTCTCTCTCCCTCCCTCTCTCTCTACCCCCCCCCCCCCCCCCCCCCGGGACGAGTGCTGGGTATATCTGCGGGCATTGAGGAAGTTGGTAGCCTGAGGTGGGAGTTGGCCCTGTGTCTGTTGCTGGCCTGGATCCTCTGCTACTTCTGTGTTTGGAAAGGAGTCAGATCCACTGGAAAGGTTCAGTTTGGTTTTTTGGTTTTTTGGAAAATGTTTCTGTGTCGTGAGTCATTCAAAGGATGAGCTCCACTCAGTTTTACTTTAACTTTTTTTTTTCTGTTTTAGAAGCAAATGCAAATATGTGCAAATCGAAATAATAGTCAAATTATAAATTTGACTAAAAAGCTCTGTCTGTCAATCTATTTATTTCTATCTAACATAGAAAAACAGTGACACAGAGTTTTAGCTGAGACATTTTGTTGTAACCTGTAGACATTTCCAACTTTTATATCCTAACATTTATAGCTCAGTATAACGAAGACAAGTGTTTAAGGTTGAAAAAAATTTTTAAAAAATCCAAAAACCCAGAACAAACAGAAGAGGCTTTAAATACAGGGGGAAGTTAACACAGTATGACATGTCAACACTCGATTGAGGAACAACCAGAGAGGACAGACACTCGTGACCAAAAAAAAACAACAACAAAAAAAAAAAAAACAATCCACCAATTAATGAGTCAGCGTGGAGCAAAAACAGGAAATGAACTCATTTAGAAATAAACAACAAAATGAAAACATCTAACTTGTACGTACAAAGTTAAAAAAAAAGAAAAAAAAAGACAGGAAAAAACTAGCAGCCCAGTAAATACCTATGTAGTGACTGTGTCTTTGGTTTAATCCAATTTTAAACAAACAGTGTTAGCGGTTAGCATTAGCGCAAGTTCTTTCCTCTCGCTGCAGTCCAGTCATTTCCAACTTCACAGTTAACTACGGCGTGGTCTTTTTCACACGTGTGTGTGTGTGTGTGTGTGTGTGTGGTAGATGTCACTGTGTGGCGCTGTAACACGCTGTGACAAACAGGACCCATTATCTGGTCCAGATATATTGGAGCGAGGTTGGTTCGCCTCTTTGGCCTCTCACACTCAAACACGAGCTCTGCCAAGATTCTTGCGGCGTGTCGTCATCTTCAGGAACTGCCTAACCCAACCATAATGCTCTGAGGTTCCTTTTTTTGGTTTAACCCTGTCACGATAACTGGAGAGACTTTTCTCGTATGAAAGTGTTTAAGGTTTGCGATGTACTCCATGATGTATGTACATGTAGTATTTTCTGGTTTGCATATGTTCATTAGGACTGTAACGGTATATTTATTCATCCTTGACACGGGTTTGAATCAGGATTGAACAAAATGTTGGTACAAACAGTATGTGTATATATGCATACATATATGGGCATATATGTGTGTATATGTTTATATATATGCGTATATATATACACATATATTTATATATGTACATATGTTGATATATGTACATATATGTATATATGTACATATATGTTGATATATGTACATATATGTTGATATATGTATAAATGTATGTATTTACATATATATTTATATATGTGGATATATGTACATATATGTTGATATTTATATATGCACATATATATTAATATATGTGCATATATATATATATACCCATACCTGGTATACCCATATATTATATTATATTCCGTATGTATATATGTTTGAAAACCTCAGTATTTGCAAATTTATCATTGTTTAATAAATGACCAAAATTTTTGGGTTACAGTTTTTTTGTCCTGAAAATGTACCACAGAGTCAACTTTCCGTACCGTTACACCCCCTAGTGTTCAATGACCCGTCACTGTGTTTTTATTCTGAACTTGAACTGACAAAGTGAAACCCTACCTTTGTCCTGCCTTTCCAGGTGGTGTACTTCACAGCCACCTTCCCGTATCTGATGCTGCTGGTGTTGCTGGTCCGTGGACTCACTCTCCCAGGAGCCAAGGACGGCCTAGCCTTCTACCTGTACCCAGACCCCACCAGGTTGGTGGATCCTCAGGTGAGTAAACCGTCAGCCCCCTCCTCAACTTTAAGACTGTTAGAGTCACAAAGACACATGAGTTAGGAGTAAACCTGTGTACTGGTGCAGGACTCCACAGGTGACACCTCACTAATTTGTGTTTTGATATTTGCTCAGGTTTGGATGGATGCAGGGTCACAAGTTCTTTTCTCTTATGGGATTTGTCAGGGGAGTTTGACTGCTCTGGGTAGTTACAATCAGTATAACAATGATTGTTACAAGTAAGTGATTGATGCTTCGTGACTTTTATGCCGTAGTCGTTCCGCATTTGTTGAAAAACACACACACTGACTCGGACGAACGTCCTGTTTTTATGTCATCAATCAGTGACGTTTTCTCAGATTAATTAACAGACGGCGTTGATGTATTAATGATGTCTCTTATCAATCGCTTTGACTAATCTCTCTTCATCCTCATCTGTACATTTTAGGAGGGATGTCCGATAATATCGGTATGATACCGATATCTTCGGCCCGATATTAGCATAAATATGTGATACCTGTAAGAATCGTTATTGTTTTTTTCCTCCGAAATTGAAAACACGATAACGCAATGCCTGGGTTTTGCTAATGATGTGTGACCTAACAAAACATTTTTGGGGAAAACGGCTATATGGCTATATGAAAGTTAAAGCCACTAGATGGCAGCATTACAGCTCATTTTATTACTTTATTTTAATAATCAGGGGATTGTATGCAGTGTTTGGACAATATTGTCAAAAAGTTAATATCGGACATCCCTACATTTTAGTCGCAATGTTGTGCATGCCTCTTTGTTCAACTTTGTTTTTTACATATTTCACCAAAAAAAAAAAAACATTTTTAGTACATAAACATATATAGAAAATCTTATTAAAATCCAGCCCCAATCCATCACAGAGCTTCAACTGAAAATTTAAACTTTTGGGTTTTTCACCCAATAAAATCACTGTGTGATACATAATTTAAAAAAAAAAAAGAAAAAAATATTGAAGTTCAAACGTTGCTGTGGTTAAGGTTCAGTTTTCATCCCCAGCGTTAGATTCGATCACTGCAGGGGGTTCACCTCAGTAAAGCAGCTTTTTCGACACCGTGTTTAAGATTTGGACGTTGGTTGGCCGGTCGCCCCGTTGCCACAGGCAGCTGCGAAATTTGTGGACTGCTGCCTGGACACAGAGCCGGGATAATTCCTGACTATGAGCCTTTTAGGAAATTAAAAAAATAAGAGAATTAAAGTATTAGATCAGGTAAAAAAAACACAAAAAAAATCACCAAATGATCGAAGAATAGTTTTATCCTGACATGTTTAGTCGGACACAAAAAAAATCCTATAATAATACATACAATATTTTAATAAGAATTTTAAAAAAAAGCAGTATTTTCTAAATCCAAACACCGGCTGTTGAACTTGTCACTTGCTGCTGTGTTCTGTAGAAATAGAAACAATAGACACAAACACAAACACTTGTCATAAAGTGTTTGTTTGTGATTGAAAACATATGAAGAACTTTTATTTCCACATTTATTTCGCTGTCACTTTCAGACCACATAAAAATGTCCTCAGACTCAGACTCTGTTTATGTTAGTCACAAAAACCACAGTGGCTCATCATAAAAAAAAAATTTAAAAAAATTTTTTAAAAACCCACCCAGAATGATGATGAATATAAACACTAATTTTCCCGTTCAGTCGGGGAAGTGTGTGAGTTCACTGATGTCACAGTTCATACATTATTCTCTACAGTTGTGTGTTTTTTCCTCTGTGTCACATTTTTTTGCACAGCTTCACTTGTTGCCTAACAGTGTCTGTGTTTTTTTTTTGTTTTTTTTCTCCTCTCTCCTCAGGGACACTTTTGTCCTTTGTCTGGTGAATGGCATGTCCAGCTTTGTTGCAGGGTTCGCGATCTTTTCCGTTCTGGGCTTTATGTCCTACGAACAAGGGCTGCCGATATCTGAAGTGGCCGCCTCTGGTAATACACACACACACACACACACACACACACTCGCAGTTGACAAAGTAATACACAGGAGTAGTATATTTTTACTATATATGTGTTTTCTTCTTCTAGAAAAAAAAAAAATCATTTACAGAGATAATATATTTTCTGTTTTGTCCTGATGATGTTTTTAAGTTTCTATGGTCTCTGGTCATGTGACCTTTTTTTAAGGAGGATTTTTTAAAAATTTTATATTCAAGTTAAATTAAGAGGAAGTTTTATTTTATTAATGTGTTAATAACGTTCATAATCAATTTATATAAATATATTTATTTAATTTTAAGCACAAAGGAAAAACAGACAAAAAGCAAAATAAAAAGTAATTCTTGCAAAGAGAAAAACAAGGTGAAGAACAAAATACATAAATGTATAAACACAATTTCCAGAAAAGATTCTACATTAACAGAAGAAAAGTCACACTACTAACCAGGTTAACTGGTTACAGGTCAGATATTAAGATTTAACATTTTTTGAAAAGATTTGAAAAAAAAAAACATTGTTCCTCAGCACAAACTGGCAAAAAGTTTTACACATTAATACGTTAATAATTTTTTTTTTTTAAATTGATAATTAAATTCCAAAAATCAAAGACACTGCAGTGGAATAGACTGCTGAATGCTGCCTGACCTTTGACCCTTTAGTTAGATTTTTTCCATGAGAAAATCAGTGCAGTGATGAAGGTCTCTGCAGTATTTAGGAAATATTTGTTGACCAAAACAATTCAACACTACAAGATTTTTTTTTTCTGAGACCATTACTGTAAAAAATACTAAGTAATAAGGTATAATTATTAATTATTATTATTATTAATTAATCTCCGTGCAGGACCTGGTCTGGCATTTATTGCGTATCCCCGTGCAGTAGCTATGATGCCTTTCCCTCAGTTATGGTCCATCTGCTTCTTCGTCATGGTCATCCTGTTGGGGGCAGACACACAGGTGAGAACTGACGTGTACCTGTGACCTGACCGTGTGCTGCAGTTCTCTCACTGACCACCGCGTCTCTGTAGTTTGTTAGCCTGGAGTGTCTGATGACGTCGGTGACCGACATGTTTCCCACCGTTTTCCGAAGAGCCTATCGTCGGGAGCTGCTGCTGCTCTGTCTCTGCTCCGTCTGCTTCTTCCTCGGCCTCCTCCTGGTCACAGAGGTAACTGCACTCATGGGCCCTTTATAAGTGTAATAATATGTGATTAACAACCCAGGATATTTACCGTATTTTCCGGACTATAAGTCGCACTTTTTTTCATCCTTTTGCTGGGTTTGCGACTTATACTCACGTTTGTTATTTTCACACAGACAGCCACTAGAGGGCACTCTAGGCTTGTGTACCAGTATCTGCTTCTCTTGCACCACTGAAAATGTACATGTTTGTTATTTTCCCATTGACAGCCACTAGAGGGCACTGGTGTGACTTATAGTCCAGAAAATATGCTACTAAAAAAACGTAAATGTTGAAGTTTCAGAGTAAAGATAAGTTTAAACAACGTTAAAAAAAATAACATCGTGGTCAAATCTAGTAGAAATATAAACATTAAACCAAAACATAAACATTGTGGTAAAATGTACACAACATGCAATAAGAGACGACCAAGTATTACTGTTGTTAATGTACCTGTTAAGTATTAATGTGTTGGTGCAGTACAGCAGGTCAAATCAATACTAAGTACTCTGTACACGCGGCGTACTGCATGTCGTACACAAACACGGCGGTGTGTATTTACTGTCGTTCTCCATCACTGGCTTTGAAGAAACTGTTGAAAATCCTGTTTTGTGTTTGATAAACAGCGTGAACGCAGCTGCTCCTTCAACCTTGATGTGCGATTCTTTTTTTCATTTCCATCGATGCAAATTCTCACTCATTTGAGTCAACATTTAACCGCAAATTATGCAAATGACATCGTGGTGTCATCTGCATATTTGATGATGATGATACTGGGACTGTTGTTTTGGAAGGAGGCAGCTGTGTGTGTGTGTGGAGAGAGTAAACAGTAGGTGGCGCTAAAGGAGCAGTCCTGTGGTTAACGTTTGCGTTCTGATGTAGGTTCTACTGCAGTACAGAGTATCTTCTACTACATCTATACTGCATGCAAATGTATCAGTACGCAAATTGATGCTTCCTGGGACCACGGCGTTCATACAATAGTACTGTGTGTGTGTGTGTTTGTGTGTGTGTGTGTGTGTGTTGAAATGTATTAGTGAGTAAACCTTATAAGACTGGACTAGAAAACCTCGAATAACGAATAAAAAAAAAACTCAAATTACAGAAAAATCCTGGGTCCAGCTGCAGCTGTGGTACCGACGAATCCTAACATTTACTCCAGTGATACAGTGACTGGACAATAAAGAGGTGACCTTTGACCCTTCATGTCTCTGCAGGGTGGCCTGTACTTCCTGCAGCTCTTCGACCACTACGTGTGCAGTGGGAACAACCTGCTGCTGCTGTCGGTGTGTCAGTCCGTAGCCATCGGCTGGATTTATGGTCAGTTGTTTCGGTCGTTAATCAGCTCTTTGAATGCATGTGGGAGAAAATCAGATATGAAGATCGTAAAGAGTTTTATGGTTGAAGGTGTGTTCGCTGGAAACTGGAAAAACAAACACTTTGATTGAATAAAATAAATCCTGTTTTTTTTTTATGAACTGTTTTAAGATGATGTTTGTTGAGGAAACTAGTTCTTCTAACGATTTGTTTTCTTACTAATTGCTCTGCCCTTGGGAAGTATGGACTGAGAACAACCGTTTCTTTTTCCAATGGCTCCCCCTGCTGATGAGTTTCAGTATTTCAGTTGACCAAAAAAAAGGAAGGAGGAGAACACACTTTCTGTAGTAAAACAGACAAAAAAAAACCACATTTGTGTTTTGTTTTTGGATTTTGTTTTTATATTCTGACCTAAACAAATACTAGCTGTCTTCTCAGACTAGTGTTGATCTGATTGGCTGAATGGTGGTCTTTATATGAGTTTGTTTTGCCATGTGAATTTAACTCACCTCTCGGTGCTGCTGAAAGCCTCTGTAATCGTGATGGACTTAGAGCCACTCCATCAGGAGCACTGGTATTTTCCTCTAAAGAGGAATGTTGATGAGAGCTTTGTACTGGAGATGGAAACTCAGCCAGGCTCCGACGACTGAAGGCCACTTCACTGAGGTTAATCCTTCAGGTTTTTATTAGATTTACATATTTTAATTATCATCATTAGGTTTTTATTAGATTTACATATTTTAAATATCATCACCCGTCGGTTTTTCTTAGTTTCCCAAGAAAAGTCTTATTTAATACAAAATTAAATTTTTATGAAAATGACGATATTGTCCAAACACTTAATTTCCGATTTCAATATCAACCAATACAGATATAGGCCTGGTAATATTTATTTATTTATCTCCTGTGACAACATTATAAAACAGGGGTAAAAAAAGACAACATTATAAAACAGAGGGGTAAAAAAAAAGACAACATTATAAAACAGGGGTAAAAAAAGACAACATTATAAAACAGAGGGGTAAAAAAAAAGACAACATTATAAAACAGGGGTAAAAAAAGACAACATTATAAAACAGAGGGGTAAAAAAAAAGACAACATTATAAAACAGGGGTAAAAAAAGACAACATTATAAAACAGAGGGGTAAAAAAAAAGACAACATTATAAAACAGGGGTAAAAAAAGACAACATTATAAAACAGAGGGGTAAAAAAAAAGACAACATTATAAAACAGGGGTAAAAAAAGACAACATTATAAAACAGAGGGGTAAAAAAAAAGACAACATTATAAAACAGGGGTAAAAAAAGACAACATTATAAAACAGAGGGGTAAAAAAAAAGACAACATTATAAAACAGGGGTAAAAAAAGACAACATTATAAAACAGAGGGGTAAAAAAAAAGACAACATTATAAAACAGGGGTAAAAAAAGACAACATTATAAAACAGAGGGGTAAAAAAAATACAGGGGTCAACTGAACTCTTATTTTTTATTCTCTTACTATCATCCATCCATCCTCATCCATCATCCATCCTCATCATCCATCCATCCATCCTCATCCATCTATTCATCCATCCATCCTCATTCATCCATCCATCCAACCATCCATCCAACCTCATCCATCCATCCAACTAGCCATCCAACTATCCATCCATCCACCCACCCTCCCTCATCCATCTATCATCCATCCATCTATCTATCTATCATCCATCCATCCATCATCCTCATTCATCCATCCATCCATTCATCCAACCTCATCCATTCATCCAACCTTATCCATCCATCCATCCTCATCCATCCAGCCATACATCCATCCAACTATCCATCCACCCTCATCCATCTATTTCATCCATCCATCCATCCATCCACCCAACCTCATCCATCCGTCCATTCTCATCCATCCATCATAGATATAGGATCTATCCATCCATCCATCATCCATCCATCCATCCATCCATCCATTCATTATGTAAACCTCGACTACATAAATGAGAGAAATAGAACACATTTTCTTCAAAGTGAGCGTCATCATTAAAACACACGTTGTTCTTCTTTTTTTTTTCTTTTTTTTTTCTCAGGGCACCTTCGTCTTTTCAGTTGCCCGCTACAAACCCCTCAAGTTCAACAAGACCTACTTCTACCCGACCTGGGCCTACGCTCTGGGCTGGTCCCTGGGACTGTTCTGTGTCCTGCTGGTTCCTCTGTGGATGATCTTTAAAGTTTCACAAATGAAAGGAACGATATTGGAGGTACGTTCACACAAAGTCCACCAAACCACCTGTGCCCAAGCCCCGGTTCGGGGTCCGGTGCCGGTTCGAAGGTGATTTGGTACCAGTGAAAAAATGTACTTCAGTTTCACTGATTTACTTCATTCTGAAAGAATCCACTCATGTCACTTTACTGTTTTCATTCAATGATAATTGGTCAGTGTTTCAGAACTACAGGTCAAAGGTCTGAATGACCTTTGACCTGTAGTTCTGGTATTACCGGTCCACAGTAATGGCTGATACCGGCCGCCCGGTCCTCGGAACAGAAAAGGTTTCAGGACATGGTATAAATGCTGTGACATTTAGCTTGACTCACTTTAGCCACAGTTAGCCGTTAGCTGGTCATTGTCTATTTGGCGTTGATTCAATGCTGTATCTTTGGTGAAAACCCTCCAGGTTTTGGCTCAGTGTGGTGGAATGTCGGTTCTAATCCGTGTTCGTGTTCAGATGGTGAAGACAGGACGTCGTGGAGATCAGATTTAGAATCCTTTGTGTTCAGACTTGATGAATTCCAGCAAACAGTTGTGTAACGCTCTAAAAATAGAACCCAGCCAAAGTTATGGAGTTTTTCCTACTGGGTGCTGCGGTGTTGTCCTCCAGCAGGAGGCGGTGTTGACTGTAAATCATCCTGTTTTACTGGAATCCCTTCATCTGGACTGTGTTAACCGACCGGAGTAGTTGTGTAATAAATCATGTGACGCTGCACCAGCTCAACAACACTGACTGGTACCAGCAGTGACAACAGCTGTGGCAGAGAAACCCACTGAGCCACAGCCTCTCAAATCAGATGTTTTGGGTTTTTTTTAATCCAACTCAGACTGATTTCATATTTGGACCTAAATCAGATAAATATCTCATGACTCTATGACTATCTGCTGTATTATAAACAAAAATGTGGAATTCAGACCAGACCTGAAGGGTCAACGTTAGAGATGAAGCCAAGAAATATATTCAGAAGATCCTCCACAGATTTGGTTTCTCTTTCACGTCTGCCTTTTATTTATCTTTAATTAAAACATTTTTCCATCTTCTGTCGATCCCTGAGAGAAAAACTGAAACTCTTGGCGTTTGACTCGTCCATGAAAAACCTTCCAGTCAATAACACTGCACGCACCATATGTGTCAAACCCGCGGCCCGCGGCCCAAACGCTGCCCTATAATGAAGTCCACGCTGCTGAATTTCTTCACTGGATAAATTTAATTTTTGTAACTTGAATAAATAATAATCCATTGCAGAAACTCATGATGACAATTTAAATTAATAATCTAATTAATAATATGTTTTGGACATGTTTGATGGGCCACATCTGGCCCCCGGGCCATAGTTTGCCCGTGCCTGGTATGACGTTCACTCCTGTCGATCGTATATTTTTCCTCGATGTATCTTCAACGCTGCAAACACTTCAGATTTCTTAATTTGATTTGATTTTTTTTTTCTTCCAGAACCTTCAGGAGCTTTGTCTTCCACAGGGCCAGAAATGCAAACCCGAAAAGAAATCGGAGCAGTTTCCTCTGAACCCGGACGCCGTCCTTCCTCCTCCGTACAAGGGAAGTAGTGACTGTGAGGCCGACGTGCAGGTGTGAACACAGGCACTGAACCCTTGTCAGGTTTCAAATATTTCTCGGTTTTATTTTTCTTTTTTTATTTTTTTTTCCAGTCTCGGTTTTACAAACTATGCATTTTGTAGGTGTAACGAAGAGCAATAAACTCTGCAGAACTCACTAAACCAGATCTGCGCCGTCAGTCCGGCGTCACGTGAAACAACACGACGCGTTTGATGGTTTGTTTGTTTTTTTTTTGTCATTTTAAGCAAATCTTTTATGATTAAATTAAATCACTATTTTTATATGTCAGTATTCTACCTCTGTAGGGGATAAGGATGCTCTTCCTCACGTCTGTCTCCAGCCCCAGGTCACATGACCAGCTCCGTGTGCCTTCTGTCCTTTATTACATCATTAACACTCCTGTCACTCTTTCTCGCCCTCCGCTCACCACCGTCTTCTCACAGACTCCGTCATTCCCTAAAAATAAAATGGGAATTTAGAGCATAATTACAACAATCAGTAAACACAGTAAACCATATTTCCCGGCTGTTTACTTCCGGCTCATTCTTCTTTTTTTTTTTTTTTTTTTTAATTTTTAAACCCTAACGA